GGCTATCGTTGCTATGATATGTCAACCAACAAAATTTATGTGGCCCGACATGTTAAATTTGACGAGCATAGTTTTCCATTTTGTGCTAACAATTCCATGCATGAAATGACATCCAATCTACATGCAAATGTTCAGTGGTAAATGGTAACAAATATGAACCATGTTCACTCTACTTTGGATAATCCTTCTTCCACAATTCAAATACCTTTTGTTCCATTATCAACAACCAGCTCACCACAATAACACTTATCCCTATTTCCTTATCATAATCAATCATTTTCACCAATACCTTCTTATCCTACCTATATAAATCCCATTAAATCTTCTGACCTTTCACCAATTGAGTCAACCCAATCACCAATTGACATAACCAAATCTACAACACCTACTCAACCTGAAATCTAATAAATTTAGTTGTTGATTTCAGTCAATATCCCATTACAAATAAATAAACTAAAACAACACAAATTGACCAAGCTCGAATCCTTGCAATGACACTTCGCTACAAGACACTTCAATGATGGCAAGTCAATTCAGTTACTAAACATCCCATGCAAACCAAACCAATTAATTATCTCAAGACAAAACCAAACCACGCAGGCCGTGTTAGAAGAATATCATGCGATTAGCAACAATACTTCAAGTTTGGTTCTATATCCAATTAGGAAAAATGTTGTGAGAAATAAATGGGTCATTCACATTAAAAAGAATCCCAAAATGGATACAATCAAAAAGATGGTGTGGACTTTCATGAGTCTAGTAGTTAAGGCAACTACTATTCGGGCTATTCTTAGTATTGCAGTACATCATGGGTGGTCCATGAGACAATTGGACATCTCAAATGCGTTCCTTCATGGAAATATTGATAAGGAAATTTATATGGCACAACCGGTGGGATTTACAGACAAAGTCAATCCTAACTTTGTTTGTAAATTAAATAGATCATTATATGGTCTAAAGTATGCACCACGTACATGGTTTCTCAGATTGAGCAATTTTCTATTTTCTTTCGGATTCATAAATTCCAATGTTGATCGTTCCTTTTTTTTTTTTTTTTTTTGTTGCATTATGAAACTCTCGAGATTTTTATTCTTGTCTATGTTGACGATATTGTTGTTACAAGAACTTCTGAAACCATCATTAATCAATTTGTTGACAAGTTATAAAATTTTTTTTTCCTATTCGTGATTTAGGCTCATTAAGTTTCTTTCTTGGTCTCGAAGTCATTCAAACATTTGATGGACTTCTTTTATTTCAACGTAAATACGAAAGATTTATTGGAGAAAACTAAAATGTTGGGCCTCTAAACTGTATTCTCCCCTATTGGCAAGTGCGTCTCCCATGTCTAAGACTATGGACATTCCACTAGAAAATGGGGATTTCTATCCGTAAATGGTGGAAGCATTGCAACATATTACCTTAATGAGACCTAATATTGAATTTTCTGTAAACAAATTGCGCCAATTTATGCATTCTCCTACTAATATTTATTGGAAGGCAGTCAAATGATTATTACGCTACTTGAAGGATACAATTTCCTATGGTCTATGTTACATTCCACTTATTGTTGGGAATCTACTTATACATGTACAGCGGAATTTAAAATAATTTTCGATTCCCACCAAAAATCGCCTTTGTGTTTAGATAGAGATTGTGACAAGATTGTACCTTTTCCAAATCTGCAATCTTTTTGCTTTTCTTTTCGTTCCATCAACCTTGATTCCCCACCACAGCTGTCCAATTCTCCAGCCTCCAATGGTGATCCACACAGAGAATAAGATTGCATCTTCTAGGGCTTTCTCTTGTGCCAGCAAGAATAATGAAAACCTTATAGACCTCAAACCCTAGTTATATATTTATATAAACCCAAACAGGTTCGGCCCGGTCCGGTCCAATAATTAATTAATCCAATTAATTAAACCCGGTCCGTGAATTAATTAATCCAATTAATTAATTCGAAAATATAAATAACAAATCCAATTAATTAATTTATCCAACGATTGTTAAATTAACCAATTGACAATTTGCAATCTTCCAATTCTCTTTGTGTGTGACCCATTAGGTTCCCGACCACGATGTCTAACGACGTGAAATATTATTTTGATCTAATCAAAATTGATAAATTAAAACACCCTTTTAATTTATCGTCAATTCACATTCGCCGTCCCTGATTGACATCTAACAATGTGTCAGGGCTTTCACACGTCCAATACTCTGGAAATGTTTATAAAACATTCAAAGAAGATGAATACATCCATCAATTTAATATTTTCTCTTACATCCATAATACAAGAAAGTCCCCAAAAGAATTGCCCTGAAAATCTAACATGTTTAAATATAACGTCAAAGGAAACTAACCAAGGCATTCAAGAGAAGAACCACAGACATTAACACAAACGTGTACATATTCCTTCACACTTGCATTTTCAAATTTCTTGAAATCCTCGAACATCACTTTCTACACATACCAACAACAAATCACATAAAGACAATCTAAACACAACAAGCATAAATACAAATACTTCTATTCCGACCGACCTTGTGCGAGCCCAAACAATTTCAAGACATAAGAAGTATGATTGAATCAAAACCTGCGACCAAATCGCAGATTCGCCAGAAAGCGATAAATATTCATTGTAATGTTTACATATGAGGTTTGCGCGATGCGGCTTCTCATCCATCAACTCTGCAAAACTGTTGAAAATGAGAAATTCTACCATGGGTCCATCAATTCGAGTAGCAAAATTACTTAATCAATGTGTAGAGGATAGTGAGTTCGAGGGTCAGGAGAGAGGATTATGGAGTAAAGATCCAGTAAATTATTTTCAGAATATGAGAAAGAAAAGAGATTACTTTGAAAATTGAAAGAACAAGCGGCGTCTTTCAAATCGATGGCCGCCAAACCGCCAAATTCACCGAAGAGACGATAGAGGCTAGGTTTTGAAGCTATGAGAGAAAGAACTCAAAGAAGGGCCTTCACACTTCAAAATTATTTTTTGGAGAGCTTGAATCTAAACCGACACGACCCGCATAAGTCTAAATTCAAAAAAATTTCCCACTAACTATTAGCCTTCAAACGGGTCAAATTTTTTGTAGGCTAAAGATATATCTTTCCCTTCAAATATTATTGTCGGGAAAAAATATAATTTTTTGTGGGCACAAGTCCTTCCACTATTAAAAATTTTAAGTCAAATCATAACCCTACGAAATGTATTTTTGTAGGGAAAAGTGAACACCGCCCACAAATTTTAATTTGTCTTT